ATACGCTTCCCCGAAGTTTTAGTATTAAATCAAACGGGTAAAGATATTGCGAATTACAAATTAAGTTTAACGCTCGTGAGTCTGTTTTTTAGTTGTTCGAGAAACGCATCGCATTCGGTAAATCGAGCGGTACCTTGTATATGCCATTGGTAAGGGTCACGCAAATCTGCTACCCCACCCACCACCTCCACCCTTGAGTATAGGACTTCCTTTCACCCCCCAATCATCCGCAAACTCTCTGAACACCCTCCGTGACCTGTTCCAAATCAAGGTTAAAGACCTTTCCATTCTCTTCTGCCATGCAGGATCCACTGTCTGGCTCTCGATAAATGATGATATATCATTCACGACTTGGGTATCTGCGTAATGAGTCTATGGATCTCTATGTGGTGAGTCTGTAGGTTTCTGCGTGACGAGTCTACTTGTCTCTGTGTATGTTCACACGTACATTGAACTTCTTTAGCAGCGTAACGCAACAATCTTGACGATTTTAACGTTGCACAGCTCCACTGGTGCAAGCGTCGTGAGACGACCGAGTGGAAGGGCAAAAGCGATTGGACAGAACCCAGGCACTTGGGGGGGGGGGGGGGGGGTGCGGCTGTGACGTCACGACCTACACCAGAGCCCTGCTGACCACGGCGCTGATGGCCACGCCCAGCAGGGCCAGGGTCACGTGAGCTGCGCCCACCGGGCGAGGGGCGGCGTTGAAGTTGCAGCCGTTGGTCTGGCAGCACAAGATCGTCAGGCGACCGTTGAAGTCGTATATATTTATGGCTTTGCATTCTTCAAAGTTCATGCACTTCTTGGTGAGGAGGTAGGCTGGGCAGAAGAGAAAGCACGCCGGTCTCATTGTGAGTAAAAATATTTCATTACAAACACGTGAAAAATATTTTTTATTTTTTGTTTTACCAGGTGCAAGCCCCACTGAGCTGCAATATAGCCCTTTTTCATAAGTGACCTGTATGTGTGTGTTGAAATTCTTACGTGACGTATGTAGCCAACCGTGCTAATCTGTAGGTAGAGTCTCTGATTGGGATGCAGAAACCCATGAACTCATCACGTAAATAAACCCACAGACTCATCTTACACAGACCCCATAGACTAAAATTTGATTGAAAACTTTCGTGAATGCGGGAATTCATTTTCTTTGGTTCTTTCGGTAAAGTCACGTAGATATAAAACAACAAAATAAAAAAAATAAACTCACGACGTTTCGATCGCAACACAAGCGGTCGACATCACGCGGAGAGAAAAGTGGGGCAAGCCTCCAACTGCAACTGTTTATAAAGGCTTGAAATGGGCATAGCTCAAGTGTCAGAAGGAGTGGTGACAAGTGCTGCAGGGCAGCATGAATGGACAGCTAAAGTTGTGCGTGGGCAGGGCACAAGAGTCACGGCACAGCATGAACGAATGAGCTAGTGCTGAGCAGCTTGGCGCTCATCAGCATGGGCAGGCAGCCAATGCTAATTTTCTCTCCGCCTGATGATGACCGCTTGTGTTGCGATCGAAACGTTTGTAAGTTTTTAACTTTTTTTTATTTTGTCGTTTTCTATCTACGTGATTTTACCGAAATAATGAAAGAATATGAACCCCATAGACTCATTACACACAGAGACCCATAGACTTATCACACACAAAGACCCATAGACACACTCTAAAGAGACCCATAGACTCACGACAAAGAGACCCATAGACTCACCACACAGAGACCCATAGACTCACCACACATAGACCCATAGACTCATCACACACAGAGACCCATAGACTCGCCACACACAGAGACCCCATAGACTCATCACACACAGAGAGACCCATAGACTGGCCACACTAGAGACCCGATAGACTCAAAACACAGTGAGGGCGGACGCGCGTCTTGCGAGTGGATCATGCGCCTGGGAGTCACTGCTGAACGCAAGGGGTCCACCCCCAACCCGCGCTGTGCATGAATAAGCAATGCGCTTACTGGAGCCCTGTTGGATGGTTATTGTCGCGCAGGCATCATGCGAGTTTCCGGAACACTGAATGGCACCGCCCTCATTGCACACCGTATTGTTGATGTTCGTGCGGCATGAGTAGCATTTGATGCTGTGTCCTGTATATTCACAGACGCAAGACACAAGAACAATACCGATCATCATGATCATCATGGCAATCGACCATCATCCCGGCAGACAATCATCATTATCATCACGGCAGACGATCATCCTCATCATCATCATCAAGGCAGACCATCATCATCATCATGGTAGACCATCATCATCACCACGGCAAACAGTCATCATCGTAACAGCAGACGATCATCATCACGGCAGACGATCATCACGGCAAATCTTCATCATCACAGCAGACGATTATCATCAAGGCAGACAATCATCACCATCATCATAACGGCTGACGATCACCATCATCATCATCATCACGGCAGACGATTTTTATCATCATCACGGCAGACGATTTTTATCATCATCACGGCAGACGATCATCATCATAACGCTGCTGCACGACGAATCCGGGCGACCCGAGTTTGATTCCCGCTGCAAAGTATTATTGTATTTTGATTTAATGTGCTGATCTCAAAGGTGCATTGAAAAATGTGATACTCCGACTGATGCTCCTGTTGTTTCTGGAGTGACTCATGCAGCCAGCTGTGGCTCCAGGGTTTGGTGTTACATGTTATTTATGTAGTTTATTGTCAAAAATTTGGTCACAGTTCCTATGATCACTGTACATTGCATTTTTGGCTTTATTTTGGTGATTTCGAAAAGTTTTTTGGTTGGCCATAGTTTTTGTTTATATACTACGGAGTTAGACTGATGGCCTTAATCTAAGTTTTCTTGTTGTTGTTTGACTTGCATCCCACTGGGATTTTTGCACACAGCGTTGGTGTACGGTGCTATTTCAGGAATATTTTGATGTTTTTTCCTAGATTTTCTGTTTGCACATGCACAAAGTCACTTTAAGATGTTTTCTTGTTCATGTTTTTGTTTTTGTTTGTCGCGGTTGCACCCGATTCAAGAGCCGAATGGCTCACAGGGCTATACCAAATAAATGAAACTAAAAGTATGAAACTAAACCACGGGTGGCGATCATCTGAAGCGGTACCCTGGGGCCTCCTCCTACGAGGTCGACTCGTCCTCAAATGGGTACCTAGTGCAGTGGTGGTGTGTAGTAAACATCGCCACTGGAAAGACAAAGTTGGCCGGGCGTGGTGCTGGCCTCCCACCACCTCACTGAGCTACACACGTGTAGTGTTGTGAATACAGCCACAGTGCCGGAGGAGCGCCGGGTGCACCGATTGGACGAGCAATAGGGCACGTTACCGGAAGCGGTGCATTTACTGGACGAACTCAGGTCACGTGACCGGAAGCGGTGTCCGATTGGGCGAGCTAAGGGCACGTGACCGGAAGCGGGCATCGATTGGAGGAGTCAAGGGCACGTGATCTGAAGCGGGTTTCTCGATTGGAAGAGTTAAGGGCACGTGGCCAGAAGCGGGGGGTGGGGGGGGGGGCGCCGTCCTTGATACTGCAAGGGGCGGGGCCGGAGCCAAGGGATAAAGGGGGCGTGCGTTCGGGGATTCGGGGCTCGTTCGGGGATCAAGCGAGTTAACAGAGACCCAAGTAGTGAGCAGTCTAGAACAAGTTAGCCACAGCAACAGAACCCATAGTTCATTTCCATTTATTTCCATAGTTCCATTTACTTGGTATTGCCCTGTGAACCATTCGGCTCTTGAATCGAGTGCAACCGCAACAAACAAAAAACAACACGAACAAGAAAAACATCTTAAAGTGACTATGTGACTGTGAAAACAGAAAATCCAGGAAAAAAAACATCAAAATATTCCTGAAAAGCACCGTACACCAACGCTGTGTGCAAAAATCCCAGTGGGATGCAAGTCAAACAACAACAACCACAAGACAACAAATTAAGGCCATCAGTCTAACTCCGTACTACAATAAACAAAAACCCGGTGTACAGTTAATTGTTTAATAAACACGTTGCCTCCTTATAACGGTGTGTGTGCCTTAGTCAACGTACACGACACACGTAGCCTCAGTGGCGCCTTACCCCTGGCACAATTAAAGTAGTGAGTGAAGTGAGTTAGTTAATATGACAAAATGTAAAAATAAAAACGCACCGAGAAACCACGAAGTAGTCGAGACGGAACAATTGATGATTTTTCAACGCTTCAACTTGCAGTCTTTAACGAAAAGAGAAGTCCTAAACTTAATTTCAAGAGGTAATGAGAGCGTGTATACGCAGAACCAAACAAGTCCAACACACAGCGTGAACCGAAACTAAACACCCCGAAAAATGTAAACATCAAATAACTCTTATTCTTATTTTTTTCGGTAAAGTCACGTTGAAGAGAAACAACAAATAATATAATATATATAAAACAATAAAAATTCTCACGACGTTTCGACCATAACTCAAACGGTCATCTTCAGGTGTGTTGATGACCGTTTGAGTTATGGTCGAAACGTCGTGAGAATTTTTATTGTTTTATATATATTATGCTATTTTGTTGTTTCTCTTCAACGTGACTTTACCGAAAAAAACTAAGAATATGAATTACTGCAGTCACGAAAGCTTTAAATCAAAAATCAAATAACTGTGTCGATATTGGAGATACTGCGGCAACGTCGATGTCAATTTTATGCGTTTGATTTACTATATAGTTGAAACTAATATTTATTGGGTACTTTCTGTTTCTGATATAATGACGAGTCCGGTCATGTACAGCAGCAGGCATCGTCAGGGTCCGGGATCGAACCCACGTACTCCTGTATACAAGTCAAAGTAGTTAACATCTCCACAGGGAGAGAGACACACACAGAGACTCCAAATATAGCAGCAGGTATTGTCAGGGTCCGGGATCGAACCCATGCACCTCCTGTACACCAGACGAGGTAGTTAACATCTCTATATATATCGCAGTATCGGCGTTGCTTTGGTGTCGTTGCAACAACAAACAACTCGCCACGCAGAAGTTTTCACACCTTCGCTCACGAACAGCAACGCCACGAGGAGTAGACCCGGCAGGTGGGAAGTCATGGTTAGAGTCGTGGAGCCTGGCGTTGTGGGGCTTTTGGGATGGAAAGTCGGTGAGTTGAGAGAGACAGAGTTCCAGAGTCATAGAGAGAGAGAGAGATACTATATATCCCTGGAGCGGTGACTGCGTCTGCGTAGTTAACTGGGAGAATTTATAGCGCCAGAGATTAATGAGATCGGGGAAGACACTCCTACAAACTCATTAGCATGCCACTTACAAACATTTGGAGGTGATATGCAAATATATATGTCGGAGCTCGTTGCTCAATAGCCGCAAACTTGTCTGGCACACGAAGTGGGGTGTGGTGGGTGCGGTGGGTGGGTGGGTGGCCAGCGCCACCCGCTCACGGCCGCCTTTGTCTCTCCCCACTGCAATCATATACACCCACGAACACCTGCATGCACACACACCTGTACATATACACTCACACCTGCATGCAAACATACCTGTACATATACACAAACCTATAAATATACCCACACAACTGCATGTAAACACACACCTGCATTTGCACACACCTGTAAATACACACCTGCATATACACGCAAAACACACAACATACATATACACACTTACACCTGCATGTACACACACCTGCATATACACTCACACATGCATGTTCATACACGTGTACACACATACAAACACACGCAAACACACTTGTACACACACACGTACATACACACAAGCACCTGTATGTACACACACCTGCATATTCTCACACTTGCATGTACGCACACACGTGCATATATGCACAATCATACCTGTACATATCCACACACAAAGACAAATACAAAGATGCCCCATAGCCTTAACATAATGGAGGAGAAAGTGCTGTTAGCGAGCACCTATGAATGCCGGGACGGTACACGAGGGGGTGGGTAGACAGCACCACGCCGAGCGCCTTTATCTCCCCTGTCGCGAAGTTTACACACTCATTTGAGCCTGAGTCGTCCTAGGGGAGGCCCAGGACCGATTCAGATAATCGTCACTGGTGTTGGCCGTGAGCAGGAATCGAGCCCGGGTCGCCAGGTTCATAGCGCACACACTTATACCTGCATAGACACACACCTACGTATACACTTATACCTGACATAGCGCACACACTTATACCTGCATAGACACACACCTACGTATACACTTATACCTGAATAAACACACACGCCTGCACATGCACACACAAACACCTGCATATACCCACAAACACCTGCATATACAAACACACCTGCATGTACACACACCTGTTAATACACACGTACCTGCATATACACACTCACACTTACATGTACACACACACACACACCTGCATATACACGCAAAACACACCTACGTATACAACAGCCGCCATTCGCCACTAAGTGGCGGTGATGTCACCAAGATGCTTGTGCCAGGCTATGTGCACTTTGAGACCACGTGAAGTGTCGAACGCCCGCTGGCAGGAGGTCACAGGGCAGACCCAGGTGACACGGGTCGACTGACTGAGATGACTGGCTGATGCACCACCTGTGCCCCCTACTATGTCAACCTGCTGTGCTTTAGCCACCCGGCGCTCCGCTCGTTGTTGTGAGCGTCGATCCTCTGCACTCCGTTGTTGTTGGAGGGCGACTGCCTCCAACTGCCCTTAGCATCCTTCACGAGCGCCTCCACAGAGGCCATCTTGACACCGCTGGTACCAGTCATCGGCAAGTCCACTCAGTTCCACATCCTCCTGTACCACATCATTCCATCTCTTTTCTAGCCCATACCATGGCCGTTTAGCCCCCTCGATCCAGCCGAACAAAAGCTCTTTGGGCATGCGGTAATTGGGCATGCAGGCTACATGGCCCAGCCAACGCAGCCTTGCCTGCCGGACGAGCTCACCGATGGGACTTTGTCCAGGAGGAGTTTGAGGTGCTGCTACTGAAACTGGAGTGTGCCACTAAGAGTTGGGGCCTTGCCGTCAGCCCCACCAAAACGAAGCACCTTCCTGGGTATTTTGTACCATCGGGCACTCCACCCCACAACTCCCAATCGGTGATGGGGCATTTTGTGGAGAGAGTTGGAGAGTTTCCCATACCTGGGCAGTGTGCTCATGACCGGCTCCAGTTTAACAGCAGAGGTCTCACTTCGAATCAGTCGAGCGGCAATATCTTTTATTCGGTTGCGTAACGCTGCGTGAAAGTGTGGTGCCCGTAACAGCGGAGCCGCTCCCTCGGAGCCGTGCCCACCGCCCGTGACGCCGCCCTCGGGGAGTGACTGCGCCAACGCTGCGGCCCCTTCACCGCCCCCCCACATGAATGCACGCACACCCCACGTAGAGCCGGGAGGGAAAGCTCACCTGGCCGACAGGTTTTTATCCAGAAGCCCTAATGGGATCAAGCTTCATGGTTTCCTGCGGCCGTGAAATTGGGCGATCTACCCCCGAGGCTGACATGCACCGCGGCGCCGTGACCTGATATTAAAGTCGCGTGGTCACGGCAGGGGCCGTTGAGCCACCGGCGAGTGGAACCACACACACACAAACACGAGTCAGTGGCTGATAGCTGGGAAGAACGGAGAGCGGACGTCCAAGGAACCACCGCGGTGACGTCACCAGAGTAGGATCCGAGCATCAAAAGGGCGGGAAAATCCAGGCCTCTGATTGGACCAGGAGGCCAAGGGGGTAAAACAACGGAATGCCTTTGTTATAGGTAGGATAAAAGGAGGTAGATTTCCGGTAGTAAGGTTAGAGTCTTTCAATCATCGAAGTCAGCGGAGTGTTGGAGCCGGCCGTTCGAATCATCCGTGTGAACGAGCTTCAACGCAGCCAGGCACAATCCTCCACGGAGACGACCCACAGCATTGCCCTTTCTACAGCCTCCGGCGCCTCATATTGGAAGTCAGCAGTAAGTAAGGGAGAGGTGAGTTTGGGTTAATTAATCAGAGGGGTAGAAAGTGAAACGCCTAGGCAGAATAAATTGAGTCCAGGATCCCCGAAGGATAGGCCAGTCAGGGTCTGCTGACTCACACAAACACACGTAGTTTAGCGGGTTATTCGCGGGGAATAAAACCGTCAGTAGAGGATAAAAAATGTGTCGTGTGGTCACTGTGGAGTGCGGAAAGGGGGGTGGAGTGATTTATGTTCCTGTGCATACGCGGCTGTTTACGGCGAATAGGAGAGTGTAGCATCTGGTGTTTGCGCACACGCGTGGCTGTTTAAACACTCTTTAAATCGGGGCGAGTGACTCCCTCCAATCAGTGGCGTGCGCACGGCGGACCCCCCTGCCCTCTAACCCCTAAACCCCAAGTTCCTCGCGTGTGATTGGTGCACGGGAAGCGCCTAGTGTTTCGCGTGCACGCGCGGCTGTTTCAGACGGCCTTTAAATCGGCTCAGAGGCGTCCCCGCCAATCGGCGACGAACGCACGGTGGGCGCCCCTGCCCTCTGACCCCCTGACCCCAAGTCCCTCGCGTTGCGATTGGTGTACGGAGTCGGGCAGGTAGCGGCGTCGGTTTTGTTAGCGCCTGGGTACGTAGAGCGTGCGTACGAACGGATCCCGGGGGCCAAGCGCCGGCTGCGGAGTCACACGTCGGCGACGCTGTACCCTTCCGTTCGCGCACGAGGGCGGAGTTTTTGCTTCGCCAGCGCGCCCACCGCAGCACGCCCACTACTATGCCCGCGTAGCGCGTCGTGAACGTAAAGCCATCGGCCCTACCGATTGAGACCATGCCTACGCGGGCAGCAGCAAAGGCGGGAGCACAGGGGGGGGGGGGGGGGCGAGGAGTTGGGAGTCGGTAGCCCGAACCCGACAGAGCAGTCGGGGAGTAGTAGTGAGAACTGAAACAGAGGAGGCTGAGGGGGGCAGCAGCCCCCGCAAAAGCTACCTGGTCTGTTGCTCCGCCACGAATCTTCGGGTCTTCTCGACCACAGTCATTCCCTCCCTAAATATACACACACACACTCACACCTGCATGTACACACACCTGCATATACACACTTACATGTAAACACACCTGTACATAAACACGCACACACACATGTATATAACATACTCGACACATTGTCATGACAGGGTGCTGACCTGTCGACCTGAAGGGGTAATTGCGGTTATGGGCATGTTACGTAATGTCTAATTATGAGTTGGGCGTATCTGTGGGTAAAGGTGAAAGGCGGAGTCGTTCTGGAAGGGGCGTGGATGGAGGTGGGCTTGGCCGCCGGGGCAAGCATATAAGGGGCACCAAACCAGAGGTTGGGTGCTGCTCTTCGTCATCCGGCCACTTGTCCGATCTTCTGCAATGGCTCTCATCATCCCCGTCACTGCGCCAGTCGGACAGCTGTGTAGTTGGACGCCGACGATGGGGTTGTGTAGAAGGGTCGGCTATGTGTAGCTACGTAGAAATATTACATGGATGTATCGCCCATTGTTGTGCTTAAAGTGTGAGAATAAATAAGATGCCTTTTACACGACGTGTCTCATAATGTCGCTTACTACACATATAAACACAAACCTGCATATGCACACACTCACACCTGCATGTATACACACCTGTACATACACACACCTGTACATATCCACACATCTGCTACACACAAACCTGCATACACACACTCACACCTGTATGTATACACATACCTATACATACACCTTTACATACACACCTGGATGTACACATACCTACATATACACACACCTGAATGTACACACACTCACACCTGCATGTACGTAAACCAGCATACACACACACTCACACCTGCATTTACACACCTGCATATACACACTCACACCTATATGAACATACATACATACAAAGATCAAAGATCCCCCATATAGCCTAAACAGACTGTAGGGGCAAGTGCTGTTAGCGAGCACCTATGAAGGCCGGAACGGTACACGAAGGGGTGGTGGCCAGCACCACGCCCGACCTGCCTTTGTCCCCTAGTGGCAATGTTTTTATCCACCGCACCAGGTACTCATTTGAGGCTGAGTCGACCTAGGGGCGGCCCGGGACCGGTTCAGATAATCGTCACTGGTGTTGGCCGTGAGCGGGAATCGAACCCGGGTCGCCAGGTTCATAGCGCAGCGCGCTAACCGCTACACTACCGCTCCCCATGAGTGAGTGCCCGCCGTTGGATGAGGTTACTAAAGGCCGTGGCAAT